AATCATCTCCGCTTGACTTTTCTTCTGCATACTTGTCAGTTATCCAGTGGGATAGCAGCCTGTTGATATGTTCGTATAAAGCAGCTGCTCCAAGAAAGTGCTCGTGGGGTCTATCAGTATGAAAAGAATTATTTAAAGATGTGGTCCTAAGTGCCGAATATACGGAAGGAACCTGTGTTCCAATTCACTTGAAACCTCAACCACTGGTAAATATATATATATATAGATTGAATCCATAAGAGTTAGTTTCAGGATTGAGATAATCAAAAACATTGGATGCAAGTGATTTCGAATCAGTTTTGACAAAACAAAAATGGTTGAGAAACGCGCTTAAATTTTTTGTGCAAGACGTGAAGTTACCTTGGGGATCGGATTCTTCAGGTCACTTCGGCGACCGAATAGAAAAAATAAATATGCAGTTTAAATATGCCGTTTAGCATTGATAATAAGTATACATATTTCTGCCAGTGACTGGGTTACCCCAGAGTACCAAGTCGAAAAGCGACAGGTTAACGGTCTGTCAAGGGGTCTTAAGCAGATTATGCTATCTGAAGTCTACATCTTCGAGACTCAATCAGCGCGTCGCCTAACTTGGCTCCGATGCGACTAAAAAACTTGAAGAGTCGCAGGCGTTGACGGTCCTGGGTTGCGAGGCTCAGGAGTGAAAAACTGGACGAGGAGGGCGCTTTTCGGCCACTGGTAAGAATGCCTTTAGCGTCTTGAAACCTGAAGCCTTGATTGCATGTCGCTGAGACATTTCGAAGATGGAAGGCGAAGTAGAGTCCAAAATGCAGTAAGAAGTCCAGATAAGAAAATTTCAAAATGCGCAAGGTACTAAATATCCTCTTGCAAAAAAATTTGTCTTCATACCAAGGGGGATTTAGGGGGGCAGAGCCCCCCCCCCCACGCCTCAAGGATTTGTTTAAGTCGCCTTTGGCGCTATTATACACTTATTTTGAACGGGTGCACGTGCTGAAAAAGGCAATTTTTTGGTCAGTTTTAGAGAAAAAAAGTATGCCATTACCTACTTTTTCAAATAATAAAATGGAAAACATCTAAATTCGTTCGCAGAAAAGTTTTACAATTCTTTTCAACATCGGCTCTTTTCCAGTCCCCCCCCTTGATTTTTTCTGAAATTCAATTATGGAAATCAATTCAAAAAGCTTTTTCTCATCAACTTTATGGTGTAACTAGTGGTTTTGTAAGTTAAGGCATGAAGACCAAATATGTTTATAATCGCTTAGTTAGTGCGCATGTCAACTTTTATAATAACCGGAGGCTCTTTTCCGCTCCCCCCACATTTGAATTTCACGTTTTAACGTGGTCATAATGCACTGAAATTTCGCATGGTGAAAATATCAATAATTGTGCAAATATTTGTTCTTGATACTCTACATCGTAATATCATGCATTTAGCCGTTATAACACGTAAAACCATGAAAACAGAAATTTTGAAATGTGGGCGGGGGAGTGGAAAAGAGCCCCACCAAATAATGCAAACAATAATTTTACTTGTAAAAATTCGCGAGCTGGCGAAAAAGAAAAAATAGGCAAAAGTTTGGGTAAAATACAAAAGAGAAGAAAAAAAACAAAATTCGACGTACGCAGTAAAACGGCACAATCATTGGCTAGCAATAAACAGAACTGCTTTGAAAAATGGTCAACTTAAGATAAACTTAGAAAAATCTTTGCATCATTTGTTAATGCCTGCGTCAAAAGAAACCAAAAAACGGGCAATACTTTATGCTGCTAAAAGTCACTCTTTGACCTTTATACAACGACTTTTGTAGACTTTCTCAAATATGCGTAATGCAATTTATAATTTCGCACGTTCAAACTTCAACTCGTGAAATTTTCTGGCTGAAGTAATTTTTCATTCACGTGAAGTTTTTTATTGCATGTCTGTCAGTTCGCGACGAACTATTCGAAGGAAAAACGAGAACCAATTAGCCCAAAAGTGAACAAATCAATCGATTTTCAAGCAATTTGCAAGATGACCACGATTTTTCTGGTTGCAATGGTACTTGTGCCTTTCGTGCTTATGGGTATTCTTGTTCCAGTCATGTCATGTGGAGCTTTGGTGGCAGTTCTTCTAGTGCTCCTATTCCAAATGCTGGTAAAATTAACATTTCAGGCTCTTTTCCAGTTTCTTTTTCAACCAACCAAATATGCAAACTATCCCATTTCAGTACAGTATCCTTTAATTATACTTTATCATATTGAATCATTCTGGAGCATTCTTAGTTGGCTCAGACATACAAATCTTGCCTAAGTATTTTAGTACAATGAAGCAGAAAATCTAAAAGAAAAGAAACTGGAAAAAAGCCAATAATTTTAAACTAAAATTAATCAAGCAAAATGACACTGATTTGCTTTTAGAAAGAACGCAGTGGAAAAATGTTGCAGTTGGTCCCGACAGAGGGGAAAATTAAATCGGCGGATGCGCGGGACCGATTTACTATGGAGTCAAAAATCAATATTGACCGTTTAGTGACACAAAATAAGCCCAACTATCAGAATAACATCAAAATTCATAATGCAATTACTACAATCAACAAACAAAGCACTAATTTGCCGAAGATGGAAAAATGCACCTCTATAAATGAAGATGAAAATGATCCTCTGAACTTTGAAGAGAACGAAAAATTGGAAGCACTATTTCTGGCTTATCCAGCAAATAATTTGCCACAAATGTAGATGAACTGAAACTATGAATCAGAAGACATGCTTATGAAAATCACTCAAAATCAGCGTAGCGAAGTTATACGAACACAACACTGAAAGGCAAAAGCGTCGAATAAGAATGAACAGACGGTGGTTTCACATACAAATTGAAAACGTGGTTATGAACGTCGTTTCATCTTCAAATTTGTTAACTCGATCGTCGAAACAGGAACAGAAGAGATACTTTCGGGCAAAATTGGGCCAACGAAAGGATTGAATTAAAAGAAAAATTAGAATTGAAAGTTAATTGTCACTGTTTATGAACATGTATAACCTCGTTTTGTTATGAAAAAATAGTTCTTAAAAAACCGTTTTCGCATTTGTTTCGGGTTCTTTTCCAGTTCCCCTCTTTCAAATTCAATTTTGAAAAGCCTATTTAACGTTGTCATAATGCAATGAAATTTGGCGTGGTGAACAAATCGACAATTCTGAACAGATTTGTTCTTCATACTTAACAGCGTAACATCACGCATTTAGCCGTAATAACACGTAAAACAAATAAAAAACTCGGTATTTTGAAAGGGGGGAACTGGAAAAGAGCCTAGTTTTGCTATATTTTGCAAGGAAAATGCAAAAAAGAGCTCTAAACAGGCAAAACAAAAAGAAAAAGGAAAAGATTGAAATTTCACTTTGAAAAAATTGAATATCAATCTTGAGACTAAGAGTATCACATTCTCATATCTGCTCAACGGCCGCTTGTAATTTTACTAATACAGCAAAAAAGCAGCTAAATGTTCCGGATTTGAATTTCCGACCTGATGATTAGGAGTGACATTCACGTCCTAGCATCTGCGCCATGTTCACTTGGAAGTAAACAAGTGACCCAGCTTGTGCTGGATGTACCTGTTTTGATATTTTAAATAATATATTGTACTGATACAGAAAAGCGAAAACTGCAAAAATCAAAAAATGTACTTTACGCAAAACCCCAACTCTTTCTCAGCTTAAGTGGGAGATTAGCTGCTTATTTAAAGGAGAAAAATGCGGGTCTAGAACAACAAGCCGACGGGACTTCAAGCCGAAGGGACTAAAGCCAAAAATTAAACATAACAAGCACCTAAAAACGCTAAATTTTTACCAATAAAAAGTTTATTTTGAAAAAAATTTACTTCATCCTAAGCGTTCTTCATAACAATGCTTTTTAAGAGTGGCATCAGATACTTAGATCAGCCGGATTTGAAATGCATAACTTATACACATGAAAAATCCATCAACAATGTTTTAATTTTTCATATTCCTAAGCATCAATTAGAGGCTCAAAATTATGAAAAAGCCAAAACTTGTTAAGCAAGCTGATAAAATTGACAAATTCTATAAAACATTTTTCAAATTAATCATATTTCGTAACTTTTTGTCAAAATGCTCGGCTTGAAGTCCCTAATTATACGATTTGGCTGTAAGTCCCGTCGGCTTGATGTCCGGCACCAGAAAAATACTACTCGATCTTTCAATTAAATTCTTGATTTTTTGAAAAAAAGTGAAAAAGATTCCAATCAACGATCAAAAATCAAAATTTTGAGAAAAATTAAAAATGCGAAAAGTGTTAAAAAAAAGAAAAACAACAAATCCCATACATTTTCACAAAACCATGTTCTTTTTTTTCAAAACCAACCTAACACTAGCCAAAAATAAAGCAGCAACATATGCCATGAAATTGGTTATGATTAAATTGAAATATAATAAAATTGCCACTAAATGAGCGACCTAAGTTTGAAACAAAAAAGCTTCGTAATAATACACTACGCATCGATTGTGTAAATACCCACATGGTAAACAATGCAGTAACGAGCAAACTTAGGTTGCAAAAAATTGTCTCTTCATTTAATACAAGCTCTTGGAGCTCCGTTTGTGTAAAGATAAGCACCACAATTTTCAAACTATAGTACTTACCTAATTTATCATTTTCCAAACAATTAAATTTTAAAAACGAAATTTTGGCAGTTTTAGGCTGAGTATAAAAGATAAGAAATATTTATCCCAACGGGCTTATCTCCGATTATGAAATCAAACATTTCAGAGCTCTCTTTGAATTTTCTATTAACAACTTACAAAACTTGATATTGACTGCTGATATGATAAAATATGATAAGATAGTTGTTGACGGCTAAAACAGCTAGTACTCAATTTTGGAGAACTTGCTCTTGCAGATGTCCACACTACATTAGCATATTGTTCAACAACCCCATAAACCTAACACACCGAATTAGGTCACGAAGTCGAAACTTCAACGACTTCTGAAATAATAAAACTGAAATAAAATCTATTTCTTGGTTCACCTCATCTTTAGTTATATCGTACACTTTGATCTGACCGCTGGTTCCACAGAACAGGTGTTTCTCGTTTGTCTTCAGGGCTTTCACCCACTGGGCAGTCATGGGGGGCATTTTGATCCTCTTTCTCAGATCCCACGGGTCACTGAAGTTGTAGACCCCTATGAAGTTCTGACTTCCTACAAACAGCATCCCATTGCCAGTGGCGATCGCGCCAATGCCGTACTCGGACGCATAGAGCACCTACAACACAACCCAATGATTTCAGATGATTGAAAGAACTCTTCTTCTTCTTCAACCTTTATGAGGTGGACAATACTCGATACATTATGAAGACGCCACTCGGTAGACAGGTAACTGGCATTTCAGTGTTCTTCCAGTGATACGCGCATCGACATAAGATTTTTTACGTTGACTATTTACAGAAAAAATATTGATCACGACTTTTTACACAGAGAAGCGGAGCTTCGCACCACTTGCGATACAACACGAAAATTTAAAGAAAAAACGTATTAAGTCGAAAAAAATTAACAAAGCCAACAGACAAATGGAAAAGAGTAAATGAACGCAAGGAAACTGAAAAAAGGCAGACTTGTTTTTTGAAAGAATCTCAAACTTCAAAGAAAGAAAAGTAGATGCCCTTAAAGCTCTTTGATTTTTAGAACAATTTATGATACCACTTTTTTGATAAAACTAACCCAATTTGAGAAGACTGGATCAAAAAGTATAATTTATTTCGCTTTCAATTTCAATAAATTCCATTTTCAAAACTAGAAGCCGATCACATTTTTTGTGAAGTTTACACTTTTGCTGTTTGATGGTGGATTTTGCCTTCCTTTCAACAAAGGAAATGAAAAAAAAATGAAAAAAGCAAAAAAAAATGCCTCGAAAACCAAAAGAATTTGAGTAGTCATACTTGGACGCCAGATTTGCAGTCTCTGAGTGTAACCTAGCAGCACCCAATAGAGGGTTAAGAATTTCAAGATTGGTAAACTTTTATAACTAAGATTTTAGAAAAAAAAACTATTGAAAAAATCATAAAAACACCATATCTCAAAAATAAACGGATTTGAGCAGTCATACTTGGACGCCAGATTTGCAACCCACTAGTGTACCCTGACAGCATTCCACTTTAGGGTTGAAAATTTAGTTGAATAAATTGTCAAACAAAAATTTTGATAGTTTTACGTTCGAATATCGGAAAAATGTAGAATTAAAGCATTCGCGTTCCAACAGATTTTGTAACGTCGATTTGAGTAAACATTTCAAACTTTGCAATGTTTTGGCCTTTTAACAGAACAACATAGAGACTTCTTTAACATGTGCCCAGTGAAATTTCTTAAGCATTACAATATACGATATAGCTTAAACGTGCAAAAATCTTTCGTGAAAAAACATGTCAACATAGGGACTTCTTAAACATGTGCCATGTGAAACGCCAATTAAATAATGAATAAACAGATAGATAGATTACCGTGGGTCACACCGCAAAGTCTACACCACACTACAGCCTGGCACAGGACTACAGCCTGATCGAGATCATTAAAACGCCATTTCAAAACTCGCACAATTATCCCCTTCACATTTTAGCAAGTTCAAACTATTACTTGGAAAACTGGCCGGATTTTAAACGAATATCTCTCCTTCTCTTATTAGTGAATAATTAAATTTTGATTAGTAATAATTAATTAATTCCTATTTACACCTGTTTAGCATTTCATCACTTTTTACAAAAACTAACAAATTAATTCCCATCTAAACCTTTTTAACATTTCAACACTATTTATATTATTTCTCTTCTTACTATAATCAGATCGTTTTGGTAGATGTGCATGTTCACAATGTTAACTTTTGTTTGACAGCGACCTCTAGCCCAGACTGACCTTGAGTTGTTCGAACGAGTCCAAGTCCCAGATGATGATGAGTCCATCTGCAGATCCACTGTAGAGATAATGTCCACATGTGTGTAGAGAGAACACCTGACTTGTATGACCCTCCAGACTTTGCAGACACTTGAACGATGACGACTTGTCCCACACCTGCAAATAAACAAACACAGAATTATCTTAGTGAGATATAAATTATTAAGTGAGTTGTAGTTCATATAAATAACAAAGTCTTATTTTAGTTCAGTTTATTTTGATGATATTTCTTTAACTTATAGTCGGTACCTGATTATGTTTTATGGCTGCTCCATCTTGTCTGTTTTAGATTTTTCAACAAAATGTTTTTTATATATAAATTTGTGGGCAGCGATTGTTTCCATTTTATTCTTTAATGATTAGCAAACAAAGACAAGCCAAGACTTTAAACAATACTGTTCTCTTTAAAATGGTACCCAAAATGCGCACTACTAGCATGCTCGTGATATTAAGAGTTGTAAGTTTAGTATTTTTGCGCCATCCAGTCTGTTTTAACAAAAACTCACATCTCGTGTCCCATGTGTCAATGGCCCATGTGTCAAAGCAAAAAATTTATTCCCAATTAAAGATGGCTCATCCTGCTCGTCTCACCTTGATAGTTTTGTCAGACGACCCCGTGATCAAAATATCTCCACACGTGATCAGACACCAGATCTCCGACTGGTGACCCACAAAAGTACCTCTGCATTTATACTGATGATGGGGATCATATGGACCCAAGACGCCTGTAGTTAGTTTCGCATTTATCAAGGTCACTTCGTCATTTAGAAACTTCATGTTTCGACGCAGTTCGTTTATCTGCTGAATTGAACCCATATGATTGTCCTCAAGCGTCTTTACTTTGCTATTGCAGCGCGTCTCCATTTTGCGTATTGCATCGTTCAGTTTCACAATCTGTTTAAAAAAGAACACAATAACACCACTCATTCATTGCCATAATTTCCCCTCAATAGAAAATGAAAAGGAAAATTATCAGATGCGGAAAACAAACAAACCGATAAGCCTAAAACTAAGCACCATTTTTTACAAAAAATGTTTTGCTATGTTAAGTTAGACTCAATTGTTAAACTTGACGCTAAGAAAAAAAATAATAGCTCCCACTCCTCTTAAGCATCCATTCTTCCACTTACTCTCCCGTTAAAAGTAACAATGGATGCTTAGCGGGTACAGACAATCAATGCTAACCACTAGTAAAGACAATCAATGCTAATTATAACAGTGATATCCGGTTGCTGGGCAATCAGCACAGAATGTTCCGAGCAAACTGATTTCAGAAAACAAAGTTAGAAATAAAGAATACTTGGTTGCATCAAGTGTGGACCAGTCTATTTAGACTTCACCCCAAACTCACGTCGCTTTTTAATGCCGATATTTCGCCCTCTTTCTCTTGAAGAATGTCTCTTATCTTCTCAGACTCTTTCGTGCTCTGAGACAAGTAGCCTTTGATGGGTTCAAACTTGCATTCTTCTGCCAGATGATCCTGAATAGTATCCATTGTACCAACGAAGGAGCATGAGTAAATAGAATTGGGACATTGTCTGTGTAAGCAATGGGTAAGATGCTCTTCTAGGTGCATTTTGCGCATGTGCGGGCAATTCGGGTTGTTAGAGCAGGGGACCAACTCGTAGCCACAGCTCTTTTCATGCGATAATCGGTTCCTTAGTTTAATTATCTGCGGACACCCTGTAAAAATCATTTAGTTAATGACAAACTGTTGGCAATACGGATGGTCTTGAACCACTTTATCGGTCGAAAACGGTATAAATAACTTTGTAACTATCGGTATAAAACACTGTAACTAGATATTGTTTGGAAACAATTTATTATTATTATTATTATTATGCTTTTTCGGATAATGTGTGTTTTTGACATAGTTTTTTTTGTGCTTAAAGGTTTGAAAATTGGTTTACGTTAACACGAGCAATTTTACGTTAATATCTTCGTTCAGATTCGTTGACCTAAAAATATTGCCAACAATTTGGTATTAACTATACAATTACATCGGTATAAATCACATGCAACAAAGTTATGATACAATCATTATTGATATCTTAAGATGAAAAAGGCTTTTCAACTTTAAGAAAAAATTTAAGAAAAGCCCCTTTTCACGAGCTATGAGTTTTTCAAACATAATACGGATAATGAAATGTACCTTCCATTGGTGAAAGTACATTTTGAAAACAGCTTTGTCGATTATACAGAATTTTTTGTATCTAACTTACCATTTGGATCAGAAACTTCAGCTTCGGTGAGCCCATAGCGACAAAGAATTTCAAGTTGTGAAACTTGTTCACTGACCGCCAAATTGCTCGTCACAATCACAAGACCAGTTCCGTCTATCGGACAACACTTTATCGCCGCCGTCATCGATGCAACGTCTACAAAAAGTGTGTCCACACTGAGAAATAACAGGATCGAAAAATACTTTTGAACACAAAGGGCAGATAAGTTGTTCGCTAGGCGGATTAGGAAAGACACAGGGAAGGTCATTGATTGCATTCGGAGTGGGACTCGAGGACATGTAGCTTGGCACAGAAACGTTTGATGGGCTTGAATTAATAACATCTCCTATTTCCAAATCTGCGCAACTGTTTGACATAGCAGACTCCAAGTGTACGTTTAAACCAGAAGAGGTTGACTGTCCGTGAGTTGTCAAACTGGCGTTTCGTGAATGTGCCGAAATAAGGGATTTTCGTTTCCAATTTTTAGAGCTTTCAGGTGCTGTTTCGGTCCCCAGAGGATGATCCGATAAAGATGCGACTGTATGATGACCAGAAGTAGCTCCAAAAGGATCCGGCACGCTATTGGCTGAGCTGATTCTACGAATCATTTTAGTTGTTCAAAAAATTGTACGTAGAAGTTCTATGGAGCAACATATAAAAAACAAGAAAAACGCGCATTGTAACCTGGAAAAGATTTTAACAGTTAACAGACGTTCTAACGCTAAAAACAGTAGTATACAAAAACCCAAATTTCAGTTAATACTATTGAAAATTCCGAACTTCGAGGTCAATTTTGGAAAACATTTACTTGCGAAACTAATGTAACAATGATGAAACATGCACAGCAGCCAGTGTCCAGCAACCCAAAAAGGTTTTTTTTTCTGTGAAGGCAACCGACATCCTCGTAATGCATGTCCTGCTAGAGAAACTACAAATATCAAATGCCAGAAGAAAGATCATTTTGGTAAAGTTTGCAGTAGTTTATCAACTTCATACAGTTCTGTGAGTGCTGCAACCTTGCCACACTTAGCATCAATACCGCAATCTTGCCACACTTAGCAGCAATCTTCGAAAACAAGTATTTAGATGAACTCGAATCATTCCACAGTTCAAGTTCTAACCGATTTGGTTAGTACTGACAACTTCATTGACGAAGCATGATGCACCAAACATCAATTGTCTGTGCATGCATATGCAACTATTATCGCTATGACTGTTAATTACATAGCTTTATCTCTTTCCTTACGATTTTTATGTTTCAGTTGTGTATGTCGGTAGGTTTTTAATATCTCTTCTATAATATTCAATCTTTTTAACATTGGTAGCAGGAGGTATGTCTTCCAAGAACCCACCGGCCTTGCGCAACTCTTCGTCGTACAAGACGTGGAAGGTAGAAATAGAGATCTGGAATAATCTCACCGATATTCGAACAGATAAGAGAGCTCTGGCAATCACGTTTAGGTTGACTTGGCGCGCTAGAGACGCTATAACTCAATTTGGAGCTACGCATTTCAACAACGAAAATTGCATCGCCAGTGTACTTGCAGAACTTGACAAGAAGTTTGAGAAAGATGAAGTTGATTTATCGTATTCGTCGTATTCAGTTTTTAATAACTGCACCAGACCTGGAGAAACAAGTATGAATGACTACATTATTGAGTTCGAGCAGAAGTACAATCGAGCAAAACAATACAAGATGGAACTCCCAGACACAGTCCTGGCATTCAAATTACTTGAAAACCCAATGTTGAATGACAGTAGCAAGAAAATGGCAAGCACCGCTTGCTAAGAGTTGAAGTTTAAGTCAATGAAGAGTGTATTGAATCGCCTGTTCAGTTCCCATGTTGAAAGGACACCGGAAGAAACAGCAATACACGTCCTATAGTACCCGAGACACCGACATAAACATTTTGTGCCACAATCAATAAACATTCCTCATCGAATATCATTCCAGCATAAATTGTACACTTTCAGTATTTCTCTATACTTTATACCGATTGATTATGCTTTCAAAAAAATTATGACCTTGAAGTCGTCTAAAGGGTACGGAGTTCCATAGTTTCCAAACCAAAGTTCCCATGTTGCTAGTACTGCAAACACAGACACACTTGTTGTTAAAGAAGAAGTTCTATTCTCAAAGTCATCTGAAACTTATGGCAGAGGATGTGGAAATCGTGGTTGGAATCGCGGACATCGTTATAACAATCGTTTTCAAGCCAGAGGAACGACGAGAGGAATAGTTATCGGCTCTGGGAATAGATGCAATATTTGTGAGTCAACGCACCACTACATCAGAAATTGTCCGCATGCAGGAAACCAGTTTGTAAACCTGTCAGAGCATTGTGACTGTGAAAGTCTCGAAAACACAGCTGAAAGTGTCAACATTACATTGCTAAAGGAAGTTCTGTTGTGGGAACACTACGAAACTTTCGTCGCAAAAGCGTCTTTCTGTCTTTCCGGCTATCATTGTTACCGCATGTACGAAAACAGTTTCTGGATTCAAGTGGTTAGCTGAACACTTGTTGTTGTTGTTGTGGACCAGTTCTGTCTTGTGGACCAGTTCACACGTGGACCAGTTCTGTCCTGGGAGCCCCGTAGAAGTTACATGGGAACAAAGCTCGGTTCTATTCAGATTCGGTGACGCTCCTGTAGTACCGGCCGTTGGCAGAGTTGAAATTCCTGTTTGCATCGGTGAAGTAAACTGCAATATTGTTGCTGAAGTCGTTGATAAAATATACCACTCCTGTTGAGTAAATGGTCGCTGAAGAGAGCTAAGACAAACAAAAATATAGAGACGGATGTCGTCGAGATGTCTGGGAAGAATTTGGGAGTTTTCCAGACACCCAGTGGACACTATGCTGTTCCCCTGTGCAAACAAGACAGAATTCTCGACAAGAATTTTGTAAGAGTTCTCGTGAACGCAGTCGGTTTGGCACGAAGAAAGTGGAACCAGATCTTAACTACATTTTATTATTGTTCCGACTTTCGATACGAAAGTAACGGAATATTTGTGCTCGGGTGGGTTTTTTTTTTCTTCAGACAAATTTCGACTTTTTAACTAGCCATTTTTGATGAAATTTTTTTATATCATTCGAAAGTTATTGTTGTCCTGAGCTTAAATTTGAAAAGATATTTCACCTGTGATCATTTTTCGTAAAGTTATTGGGGTTTAAAGATTGGCATTTTGGCCAATTTGGGACAATTAACGCGCGATATATTTCGCGCTATTAACGCGTAAGCGGAGAGTTAATCCGTCTTAGAACTCGTTCCAAATTGGTTGAAAGAAGATTATTTGCCATAATTGAATTGTTACAAGGAGCGAAATCTATCCTTTTGTACTTTATATGGCGTGTGGGGGTATGATTTTCATAAAAAATTTCAAAATTTAAAAAAAAAAATTTCATTTTGTTTTATTACATTTAACTTTTTAATGTTATTACTGCCCCATAAACCTTACAAGACTATATTTATTTGACCACGCGGATTGAAGAGCATCACAAGGAAGATTCGCCAGTAGGGCAACATTTGAGAGAATGTGACAGGGATGGTAAGAGCGCTGAGCTTAAGTCTGAGATTATAGATCAATCAAGTAACATACAGAAACTCCTCACTCTGGAGGCCTTACATATTTGGAAAGAACGCCCCAGAATTAACACGCGCGAGGAGTTCAGGAGCAGGGAGCTGACATTAAAATTATAGTACATGTTTAAACATGACTAAAATTGCAATTTTTGAAAAAATAAACTGACATGTCAGTTTGGATAAAACATCAAATCAAAAAATTATGACTCAAGTAACAAAAAAGTATGGAAATTGTCATAATCGATGAAATAATGATTACGTAATAACAGATCTAAGAATGTGATTGGTTAAAAATTTCTAACATGTTCTTTTTGAATTTCATACATGATCTTTCATCATTTTATTGTAGAGACGATGCACAAAATGTGCGAAAACGTTTGAATTAACAAATTTTAAAAAATTCTTACTATATTTATTCTTTGGTTATACATTGGATATTTTATCACTATAAAATATTTAACATTAACCAATCACGATCCATCTAACTAACAATCCATTGATTTGTAAGTGCTGAAATTACTTGTAATTTCAGCACCAGAGAGATTTGAATTTAACTTAGAAATTAGTTACCTCTCCCAGAGAACTTTAGCAATCGCAATAAGCCAGTATACTCTAGATCTATTGAGCCTTGCAGAGACTAGTTAAACACCCTGCGACTAGGAGATATAAGAGTAAGATTAGGATCGGTATTAGACTAAGAAGTTGCACGAATCTTTCCGGCCGAAAATAAGATAGCGTGACGAGCAGACGGTGTACCCTATCCGAAATTACTCTATGATTTAGACAAAAGAACTTAACTGATCTGGTGCGACCATAAGTCTCGAATAAGACCTTAAAAAACAAATTAGCTTAGAACTAACAAGATAGATTAGAAATAGACAAACATTTTCAAAATGTTACTGACCCCCCCCCCCCCCGTTTGTTGGACAAGATAGATTAGAAATAGACAAACATTTTCAAAATGTGATCCGACCCCCCCCCCGTTTGTTGTTGATAGATATATTGTTGTTACAGGCATTTATATCAGTCAGGATCGTTACGATCAGTTTTGTAGCCCGTTTGTGAGGCTTGTACTGTAGGGTTATTTGAGCATTTAAGCACGTTAATGATAAATTGCGCTCAATCCGGAAGGGTCAGCTGATTTGCGCTCAATTCGGAAGGGTCTTGGGTGAAGACCGATCCGGCAAGCAGTACAAGGAGCAACAAGAAGGGGCTCAAAGACAACAACAATCGACTGTTGGGTATCGTTAACAAGTTTTGTATCCCTTTTGGTACAAAAAGTAAGATAGTAATCTGTGGGGGCTCGACAGTGCTGCACTGTAGTGACCCTTCACCGAACTGCGAATATCCGAGTTAAGCACCTTAATTCGGATATTAAACAAACCCGGAGGGTAAAGTATTACTAATATGTTTACTTATATAGCCTATATTAATACTCCTATACAGGGATGTCGAATACTCGGATTTTTTGGTATTCGTTATTCGCCGCGGCCCAACTATTCGATATTCGACTTCGGCCGAATAGTGCCCTTACTATTCGGATTCGGCTTCGGCCAAATGTTACTACTCGAACGACTATTCGGATATTTGGTTATTTTCCCAAAAAACTTAGCATAAAAGTTTGATACAACAAATTCTATAAAAAGTATTGAACATAGCATTTTTCAAGTAGAATTGGCTGGGACTTGCGTAATAATGTAAAAATCGCGAGAGTGAGTAAATGTTAAAAATCAGTCACAACTCACAACTCACATCAGACTCTTCTACATTAGCCATCTTAAAAAAAACAGAAAAATATTGTGAAACAAAACAGTAAACCAATATTCGGAATATTCGGGTTTTTTAGCAGTGGACCCTGGATTATTCGGTATTCGGCAAAAAAAAAAAATATTCGGATTCGATATTCGGATTTCAAAATTTTAATATTCGGATTCGGCTTCGAAGTGCCGAATACTCGGTATTCGGGTCGAATACTCGGATTCGAATCGATATCCCTGCTCCTATATCGTTTTTCAGTGAAAAAAACAGAAAGCAGACCGGTTTTTAGGGTCAAAATAGCGATATTTTGATCCCCCCACAAATCGCGATTTTTGAGATATCGATATTTTTTGAAACGGAAAAAA